TTCTCAGAGAATAGTAATGGCAGATTTAAAAAAATGCTTCTTAAACCCTGCATTGCCTCGTCTTCCTTTGTATTCCTATTTTTTCTTTTTTCCCCTATTTCTAAATGTTTTTCTGCTGGAGATTTCTCTAAAATACTTGTGGCAGTCATGTTTTAAGATTGAGGCAATAGAAAGTTGATTGAACGCTGCAGGCCAAGGGAACTTATTTGCTGATAATTTAGAGGGTAGTCCAGGGCAACTAAGCTCTTTCATTAGGACTCTTCAGATTTAGGGTGTCTTTTCCTTGGGACTATTTGTTCTAGGGAGGCATCCTCTCATATACTATCTTGGAGTGGGGCTTTAAGCCCAGCTCTCGCATTCTATAAGAAGGGAGGAGGAAGGAGGCTGAGGCTGGATCTACTATTCACTGTGAAACTTTGTTTATTCAGTCCTGTTGTCAGCTCCATGTTCCCACCTTCCTGCGTTCTACTTAGGTACCCTAAATCTGAAGCCTTCAGATTCTGTCTTTTAAGGAAGCAGTAATGGTGGGGGTGAGATGTAAGAGGGATAACCACCAAACTGCCAAGGATAGTTGAGAGTGGCATATATATAGAGAGAGAGAGAGAGTTTTTTTTTTTCTTTCTTTTTTTTTGACAGTCTCGCTCTGTCACCCAGGCTGGAAAGCAGTAGCATGATCTTGGCTCACTGCAACCTCTGCCTCCCAGGCTCAAGCAATTCTCGTGCCTCAGCTTCCCAAGTAGCTGGGATTACAGGTGGACCCCACCACTTTGACTAATTTTTGTATTTTTTGTAGAGACGGGATTTTGCCATGCTGGCCAGTCTTGTCTCAAACTCCTGGCCTCAAGTGATCTGCCAGCCTTAGCCTCCCAAAGTGCTGGCATCAGGTGTGGGCCATGGTGCCCAGCCTGATCTAATATTTTCACAAAGAATTTTAATTAATGCCTCTGCTTTTAATCATATACATATTACTCCTATTTGAACTATTTTGATAGTTCAAAAGCAGAATCTTTCAAGGCATCCTCTTTGTAGAACACTGTTCATACTTCTTTCCTATATTAAGTCTGTTACTAATCCTATATCTGTTTTCTATCTTTTAAAAAAGTATTGAAGTCTTTCAATTTCGGTAGTCATATTATTTTCTTCCCCTTGGAACTTGTACCTTTTATGTTTTAATTCTCATACTGTTATTTGGGGAAATATCATTATTTCAGGACAGAGAAGAAATAGATGTACATATTCAATCTACTGTTGTTTGAAATAAATTTATGATGCTTTTGTTTGCTAATTTTCCTTTGCCACATTCACTGGTTATGTGAAGAACATACTCTACTACTTATTCCTTCTAAAGCAATTACACTTTAAATTTGTCCTTTCTAGTCACTGTAAGTGCAATGAATGTGTTGTAGAACATGGCCTATAGATGAACGTGAAACTAACCTTCTTTAGAAATTCTAGAAAAAATCAACTTGCAAACGTATCTAATCACTAAAAGCATATTCTGTGCAGATAGTCTTTATTTACTAGTTGTCAATTTACTTGCTTATTTACTAGTTATCAAAGGGTTATTTTCATGCAAAATAAAGATATACCAGTAAAAGCCTTAAAACTTTGGAGGGCTGATTTTCTACTTCATGATCTTTTTTTAAAAATGTCAGACATGACTAAGGAGTGAGGTCTTTTTCCTTCCTTTCTATATAGATATAAAACCCCTTTCAATCTCCAGGTTTTGTTGATTTTGTTCTCTGTCTTTTTTTTTTTTTTTTTTACTTTCTATTTCCTGCACTCTGGTCAAATCACCCTCAGCACTCACTGGCTGTAATGAAAATGGCAAATACCTTCCCTGCAGCCTGTCTGCTCCTAGCTCAGCCTGTTCTTCACACTGCCACCATAATGATGTTTTAAAGACAAATATAATCATAATCCTAGAGCAGAGATTGTTCACCTGAAATCATCCATGGTTGATCAACTTTATAAGTCTTTGAATCCCTTAGATTATAGACAAAAAATAGTGTTTATGATTATTTTATTTAGGGGCGAAGCCTAGGTATTTCGTCATATCCTTGAAAGAGTCTGACACTTCCGACTTTTAAAAATCACTCCATGGAGAATCAAGTTGATGAATAATGATGAGACTAGCCAGTGATCTCAACACAAATGACTACCAAAATCTCTATTATTTTTCTGGAAACAAGATTACCAGAAATCTAAATGGCATCTATGATTGATTGGTATTCTCTTCTCCCCACATAAGAATGGCAGAAGAATGACAGTTAGCCAAGTGTCTGTCAAAACAAACTACAAATATATTCTTTAGAAAACAGGCTGTTAAAATGGATCAGGTATAAATATGTTTTGCATATCACAAAAGACACCTAAATTAAGGAAAGCTGTGAAAGAGCAGATAGCCATTTTTCAATTACATATGACCAATGTGGCATTTTTTGATATCTTAGTCAGTTATTCAAAGGTCTGGAAATGCCATACGTGCCTATGTAATTTGGAGTCACTGCTTTTGATACAGGCAGTGAGTCTAGAAATTTCTACCTTACTCAGAACAATCATGCTATGACTTTTTCCTACTTGTGCAATTACCAAGATTTCACACCATTTAACATTTTATGTTTATGCACATGAATATTTACAGGGGAATAGACTTGGGCATTAAAAAAAAAAAAGTCATTCAGCTTCCTTGACTTCATCAGGTTGTTTGTGGAGAGGCTATTTCACAAACACACAAGCTACAAATCAAAGGTATATGACACCTTTTTATATTATCAGGCAACATGGTGATGAAAAAAATGAAATGGAGTTTGTGAATTTTATTACTCAGGGTGACAATTTAATATGTGGGTGATGGTGTGCAGCTCCCAAATGAGATTTGTTGCATCCTCGGAACTGCATAAAATGTCTAAAGAGAGGGGCAAGCTTCCATGCCATATATAGACAGACTCATTGGATCTCCGGAGGAAGTTAGATTGGAAACTTGTAAGTCCACAGTCATTCACAGATGATAAAGTGTGTGAAGTGGAGAGCAGGGAGAGGCTGTGCTTGCATGAATAATTTTAATGACTTAATGTTTCTTCTTATTAATTTTAACATAGGGCAGTGGGATAAGGAAGTCATCAGTCTTGCATATGTCATTTTCTTCTACAGATGGTACAATGGTTGATTTGGTACAAGCATCATACCAAATATGTATGCAGGAAGCCAAAAAATAGAATCAAATCAAACATGATTTTACAGTTGTTATTATTCCTAAGAATATCTGTGCTCCCATAGGCATACGTCTTAGATAGGAGAATGCTATTGGAATTTCTGGTCTCTGCATTGAGGGGCTGTTGGTCTTTTGGAAAGATGTGCTTATTGAATGGGACAAGCCAGATCCAAGAGGCATCGCTAGGGCTACTCCCAGACCTACTTGTGATTCAAGGCTGTGCTTCTCCTCTGCACATGAGACAGGTGAGTTATGTTACTTCCTAGGTAAGAAGGAGGGGAAGAGGTAAGTTACCTGAAATCATCTGATGCATTATTATCCCCTTCAGTATGGACATAATGTCAGAAGAGGATCTCTGAATCAGATAGGATAAAGCATTCTTTCGACCTCCCTGCTGGGGGCTTGTCTGTGCTGGACTAGACTGTGCAGGTGAAAACCAGATGAACTCAAACCACTTCTCTGATTAAATGGGCCAACTGTTTCAGTCATTGCCCAAATAAATGGTGTTTCTGTGCCAACTTTCATGTGTATACTTTGGAGGAAATTGTTACTTCCTATTCTGATCTCATCTTTTTCATAGGAATCTTAGAAGTATTGGAAAGCTGTTTTGAAATCCATTTTAAAACCTAAAATTGAGACTCACAATTTTTTTTCCTTTATATAGGTATTCTCAGTTTAAATTGCTTTACATTTTTACTTTTTCATTTCACAAATAGAAAGTAATTTATTTTGTTCCTCTTTGAGGGTGCTAAAATAGGATCACTGATTAGAAACTGATAACCACCCACTTGAGCCAGAATTTCTATCTTCTTATGAAACAGCGCTAAAACATTTGATGTAAAATTCCTCAGTATTTTTCAGATCAAGACCCTCATTCATTTTAACAAAATTTACTTACCTGTGAAAGATCAGAACATGTGCTTTCAGGCTACTATTCCCTTATTAAATCAGTGAGCAAATGGCCTTAAAAGGGATTCAATTGAAATCAAAGAAACATTGTTTGAGAGCCTGTTGTATGTCAAGCCCCTTGAAAACACTGGAGAGAAAAAAGCAAATATTATAGCGTATAGGAAAGTAAGTAAAGATATTTAACAAACAACACTAACACAATGTGATAAGTGCTGTGATAGGGAATTTGGCTGTGTGATTTCAGTGTCAGTGGATTTCTTATTCAGTTAATCTCATCTGCCAAAGAAAATATTTTTGTAGCGAGGAAATGTCACCTCTGTTCACCATTGGAAATTACTATTTATCAAGTTGTCATTTACTTGGATACTGTTATCAGGTATTGTCTAACAGATAATATAGAGGGAAAATAGAACTATCCTCAATAGAGCCCCCTTTGACTTGTAAACTATGATACTCATAATGTTTAGTGCATGGTGTATATTTAGCCTCCTGCCCATCTGGTCTTTTGTGGAGGGACTGAACAATTGATTTCCATAAGATCCAGTATTAATGAGAGCCCTCATTGTGGTTATTTTTATTACTCTCTTTCTTGAGGCATTGTTTTCCGAATGAGAATATTTACTGGGTACAAATGTAATTGCTTCAGAGATTTCCAGAAAAGGTGCTAAATTAATCCTTATCCCAAAGCTGAATTTTAATTGATCTTTTTTCTTCACCGACTTTTTCAGTTTTGTTTTTCACCACTTACAAATAAGAATCAGTTGCATGTTCCAATCCTGGAGGTCTCTGAGTTTCCAAACTCTGAAGAAAGGGGCAAGAAAGGAAGAGTTAAGGATGCCCTGTATTCGTTCCTATGTGCCTTCCATCTGTCTTATACCTGCTGCGTGAGGAGCTGACGCCAACACCCAAAGCCCTAGACAAAGACTTCCTCCACAGTCACTTTCCTCTGACCCACGGGAACCTCCTTGGTTCCTCTCCCTCTTGCCTTCACAGCTGGACTTCCGCTTGTCATCTTGCCCTGTTGGGATCTGGCACCCGCAGAGCTGCTCTGGAAACTCCATAGGGCCTATCTCTGGCACTTGCACTACTCCACTCGCTCTCAGTAATGTGGGCGTGAGGTGTCCCGTCCCCTCGCCTAACCCTTTCATAACATGGCTGGAAAGTCTTGTATGTACTGTCCCCAAAACAGATCAGACAATGTTGACCCAACAGAAGGAGCATGGTCACCTCAGTCCCAGTGGGGTAGGGGGTGGGCGGTGGGGAGTACACAGTGAAGGAGGCCTTGGATTTGGAGACAAAACTCATTTTGGGAACCTGGAAGCTCTCTGGAACTGGACACAAACTCTTGTCTCTGTAGTTTGCTTACCCAGGGGACTTGGCTAAGAGCTAGTGAATAACTTGTATAAGTATTATATGACCTTAGTACGTAATATTGTTTAGCCTGAGTTTTTGATACAGTTTTCAACTACATGCTGTTCTAACTCTGTCTGAGTTTCACAGAATTATTTCTCCAGAGTAAATTGACTTATTCTTCTGAGCAGAGCCCAGGAAGCCTAGTTATCTTAACTGTGAGGAACTGATAGAGCTCTCAATCTCCTTGGGGGATGTTTAAAAATACATAAAGCAAAATTATATCACCTTAAGAACGTTATGAGTTTCAAAGCATGCAGTCAGCCCTGCCAAATTTTCCTCTGCCTTTGAGAACTGGAATAATTATTATAAGTGCAGACAACACTAGGTTTCTCTTGCAGGCAGATTTTTGTGATTGCACCCTGGACTTCCGTTCAGAATTCTTTTCAGTTTCTTAGGAAAGCTAAATGAAGTTGCTGCAGTAAGGCCAGAGGGGGGCACCAAATAATCGTGATTGATAGAGTGGTTTGGCTGAGCATTTGCAGGAGGCTCAGGCATCAGGCCTGTTGAGCCTCTGTGTCTGTTTTGAGCATTTTGGGCATAAAACATATTGAAGTCTCTTTGTTTACCGAATCATCATCAAGCCAGGAGCTGACACCCGAGCTTCAGTGGCCCAAAACGTACTCGGCTAATGGGGAAGCAGCAGTTGGCAGGATCTGTGGTTGTAAACATTTTAGAAAAATTTCTTCACTCTTTTTAGCTCCTTCCTTATTTCACTTATCAGAGTTGAACTGTGGGAAGAACTGAGAAACAAACTCTGCCATGCTCTTGGAAGGCGAGAATACAGAGATGGGTCGTTCTTTCTGAGACAGAGGAATTATTGGCAGTTTTCTAGCATTAATTGTTCTTGATAAATTGCTGAAATATCTATTTGGTCTTCAGGAAACTGGGGAGCATTCAATACCATTTAAAGTGTTTCTGCATTGTTGGCTATTTCAGAAAAGTTCGCTTCCTCTGCTGTATTTTCTAAAGCCAGATTTCTAAATTGAATACAACTTTCCACCACAAATGTTGCAATTTATCTTGTATGGAAAAGTAGTGTTTCATGTTTGTTGGTAGTTACTACTCCGTGTGATCTGTAGTTTGCTTAGATGTCCTTATTTATAGTGAATTAATTTAGAGCAGTGGACAGGGGCCAGGGCCAAGGAGTTGGAATGTCCTCTATTCAATTGAGGAGGGTCTAGGTACGCTTACTTCATTCTTTGTTAATACATGATGGATTCTAAGTCTTCTTGCAAAATACGTGTGGATACAAAAGTGATTAATTATGATCATGTCAAATTTGAGACTGATTTAAGTCCTGAACTATAATCTGTCACCTCAGTTTTCCTTTTAGATTTTGTATGGTTTAAGAATATTTCAAAAGTGTCCTTTGACCATCTCTTTTCGTAAAGTAAAATCTGTGATCATGGGGTTGCATGACAAGTGAATTCATGCACACAGAACAATGCTGACTCAGGGAGACAGAGAGTGTGAGGGTTCTTATAAATGCTGACCCCTTCCTATGCCGACATTTTCACTTAGTGTTTACGAACTTGAGCTCTGGAGCCAAATTACTTGGGTACTTGGGTAGGAATGTAGGCCCTACTACTTATTATCTATATGACTTTGGCAAGTTACTGAGCCTCTGTGTGCCTCAGTTTCCTCATCCATAAAGTGGAGTAATGGTAGTATCATAGAGTTAGCCTGAGAATTAGATGAGTTACATGTAAAGCAGTTAGAATAGAACCTGGTGTATACAACTTCATAAGTACATGCTAAATAAATGTTTTAGGCCAGGCAGGGTGGCTCATGCCTGGAATTCTAGCACTTTGGGAGGCTAAGGTGGGTGGATTGTCTGAGCTCAGGGGTTCAAGATCAGCCTGGGCAAAATGGTGAAACCCAGTCTCTACTAAAATACAAAAAATTAGTTGGGTATTGTTGTGCGTGCCTGTAATCCCAGCTGCTTGGGAAACTGAGGCATGAGAATCGCTTGAACTCAGGTGGTGGAGGTTGCAGTGAACCAAGATCGCACCACTGCATTCCAGCCTGGGTGACAGAACTAGAGTCTGTCTCAAAAAATAAAAATAAAAAAAGTTTTAAAGGTGATATAAAACCTATTATGTCAGTCCTATAGAAGTTTTCCAGAGAAATTTACCATCAGGTGATTTTTATATGGGCATATATTGACTTAGTTGTTTCCTGTGCCTAGCTTCCTGGCTGGTATCTTAGGACCCTGCTGTTCTTTTATGCCTATAGAAACCTTTGGCCAGGCACAGTGGCTCACATCTGTAATTCCAGCACTTTGGGGGGCCAAGGGGGGGTGGATCACGAGGTCAGGAGATCGAGACCATCCTGCTGGCTAACATAGTGAAACCCCGTCTCTACTAAAAATACAAAAAAAAAAAAAAAAAAAAGAAAAAGCAACACAAGAGAAGAAATAGAACAACCAAAATCTTGTAAAAAGATCATATTACAACCGACTCTTCAACATAATTTATTTAACGAACATTCATATAGCACTTACAATGTGCCACACACTGTTTTAAATGCTGTACAAATATTAACTCATTTAATCCTCATTATAACAGAATACTTGTTGAATTTCAATTAAGTGATGTGGGAGAGTCCTCTAGCCTGCTATCTGACATGATAATCCTTTAATAAATATTTGTTGAAGGAATGAATACCTGTGAGTGACTCAATCAATCAGTCTGCCTTGTTTGGCTAACAAAAAAGCAAACAATACAGGAGGATGTTATATTAAGTGGCCTAATGTGTTCTCTGAAACTGGAAACAATTGAGACTCTTTATCCACAGCTGTATTCAGTTTGTACTGAAGGGACTAAAGTGGCCTAAATGTCCCTGTTCCTTTCTGAATATTAAGTCACTTGTTATTTTGATATTAAGCTTAGATGTTTAGTTGTCATAGAATTGGTAAAGTCTTGGTGACTTGTAGGTGTTACACTCAACTTATATTGAATATCTTAGTGTACCATTCTAAATTTCCATTTTTATCTTTATTTTGGATTTTGAGCAGACAGTATTATGATTCTGTTTAAGACATGAAGACATGCCAGTTTTCCTTCACTCTTTCAATTGCTTTCTTTTGTTTTAATCTTAGAAAACATATTTGCATCATATTTCTTAATTTGTCACAGCCTGAGAAGTGACATTATTGAATGACAGTAGGAGCTTGAATATTGTGCTTTGAAATGCCATTGAGGATACCATTATTCATGGGACAGCCCTGAGAAGATTAGCAAATAACTACTTAACATTTTATAATGCTTTATCATCATAAAAATCTACATATTAAACGAGGAATAAATTACTTAAAAATATATCACTTCTATTCAAACACCATTTGGGAAAACTTGAGAGATAAATGCCAGTTTTTAATGAAGCTACAATAAATGTTTTTATTCACCATATTATTGCTCCAATCAATTGTAGATTATTTTCATAATTACTAAGTTAGCTGCATTTAGCCCTAAACCCTACTTGTTGAAACACAGTTAACATGATAGAAGAGAACCAATAATAATCTAAGACTTCAATAGTCTCTGTGCCTGTCTCTCTTTTCTATTCCTTTCTAGGTACCAACTGAAATGATCTCTTCCTAATCTATGACAAGTATCTGGGAAGATTGAATTTGATTTAATTTTTTTTTTATTTTTGACATAGAGTCTCGCACTCTCACCCAGGCTGGAGTGCAGTGGCGCGATCTTGGCCCATGGCAGCCTCCGCCTCCCAGGTTCAAGCGATTCTCCTGCCTCAGCCTCCCGAGTAACTGGGACTACAGGTGCACCGCACCATGCTCAGCTAATTTTTTTAAATTTTTATTAGAGATGGGGTTTCACTGTGTTAGCCAGGATGGTCTCGATCTCCTGAACTCATAATCCGCCTGTCTCAGCTTCCCAAAGTGCTGGGATTACAGGCGTGAGCCACCGTGCCTGGCAGAATTTAATTTTTAAAAATGAAAGTGTTGAGATGTGGTACTGAAGGGCACGTGGAAAAGAATGGGCAGCCTTCCACGAGGAGCTCAGGTCCCTTTGGTGGCTATGAAGAAGTGGAGAGGAAAAATCAAATCTGTAACCTCTTATCTCTGAAACTAAATATTGTTGATACTGTCAGAGTAGACATGGGATTGTGGGCAATTCCTGGTTTCAGGGAAGTCAACAAATCTTCTGAAGTTACAGTGTAGTTAAAAATAACAGTTGAGGAGTGGGATTGCTCTGTGCCTCATCCAGTGGTCAGAGGTGTAAGGTGGGTTGAAGTTTATAAATTGACAGTCAATAAAATCTGTCCCAACCCAGGGAAGTAACTGGCAGACTTGAAGCCTGAGAAGAAGCTATTTGAGGTCTACTCAAACCTGAGTAGCTTCTATTGCAACTTTGACACCCTTGTTTCGTATAGCTCTGGGATAGAGGCAGAGGGGTGGTCTCCTGACTGCATGTTGGAGATTTTTTATGGGATGAGGGGCAGAGTGATGAAAAGATGACATTATTGGTAAGTCCAGATTTCAGTGGTGAGCTGATACTTCAAGTTTTGGTAGTACTGACAGTGGACAGCCCCTCAGTAGGATGAACAGGTTTCTGATAGGAACTGTGATATCTTCTAGCTTTAAGTAAAACATCTGAATTCTGTCTCTAGAGGTAAGAGGCACAGA